ATAAACAACATTGTGAAGGCAACCGGTCAACATCTTCAATTTGGATAAACAACACTGTTGTCGTAGAATCAGCTGACCGTGCAGCACCTTCTGTTTGGATAAACAGTACTGCGACAGGGCCGACTGGTTATCTATCTGAGTCTCGGTCGAGAAGGATTTTCTATTCCTTATCGGCAGAGGTCATCTCATTAGCCTCTTCGGTGAAGTGAGGTGTTACGAGTTACTGGGCTCGGCACATCGAACGCCGAGTTGTTTATGATTGACTATTCGCAGTTAGGTTTTAGAGTTCGGCATTCTAACAGCCGAACCACTTTCACGATCAAGACGTATATTTGTTTTGAGTACTTGTGTCCCTATACTCTAGTGTCGATTCGGCGTTCTTATACTCTTACGAATATAATCACTGTGACCGAATCTGGCACCGAAGATTTGTGAACTTCGCAGAACTAGAAGCCTTGTCTTCAGGCTCTAGAACTCGAAAGCCGAGAATGTTCTTTCCTCAGCCGCAGTCGCAAAATTAAGAAGTCAACAACGCACCCAACACACATCAATGAATTTTACTCCTCGATCGAGCTCGGTCGACGAGTTGGCATGCCCCGCATACAACCGAATGACATAGTTAGCTTACTAATTACTCGGCTTGCACGCCATGTAGGCTTGGTAGTTTTTAGGGTCAACATTTTGGCATGCCCAATGGGACCCAGTGCTAAGACTACGAAGTTCATGACCATCGAGACACGATCAGTAAAAAAGAAAACAACCAAATAACATAGTTAGCTTACTAATTACTCGGCCTGCGCGCCACGTAGGCTTAGTAGTTTTTAAGGTCAACATTTTGGCTGAATAATCAGGTCGAATACGAAGCCTTTGTTATCGGCATCGGCGTGCTGTATAATTTATGGGCAACTCGTGTCCTTGTTCTTGGTGACTCCGAACTTGTTATAAATCAACTCAACGGGGTTTTTAGTTGCATGAGTTATACTTTGGTGCCTTACCACATGATTGCCAGCTATTTGGCCGAATCATTCGACGACGTAACTTTCAAACACATTTCACAAGTTTATAACACAGACGCTGATGAATTGGCTCAAATAGCTTCTGGAGCCCAACTCATGGGGGGCAAATTAGGCCGAGAAATACCTGTGTCAACAAGAACATTTGGCCTTGATTAATCAGCAAGTTCTCCAATGTGGTTACGTGATCCAGACACGGGTCATGTCTTTACCTTCGTTGTTAGAACGGAAGGACACGATTAAGGTTTGTGCTGTCGAGGCATTACCAGACGATTGGAGAAGGATGATTATGCGATATATTGATAACCCCAACGAAAAACACGACCTACGGACAAGGGTTCATGCCACAAACTACGTATTATACCAGAATGAGCTGTATAAAAAATGTGAGGATAGGTTACTATTGTTGTGCCTCAGCCCGCAATAAGCTGCTCAAGCGATGGCAGAAGTACACAAAGGTATTTGCGGAGCTCACCAATCTGGACGAAAAATACGTTGGCTACTTCCACTGCACAGTTATTTCTGGCCTAGTATTCTGAAGGATTGTATTGAATATGCAAAAGGGTGTGTACAGTGTCAAATCCATGGGCCTATACAGAGAGTATCGACCAAATCATTACATTCGGTCACCAAACCATGGCCGTTCCGAGGATGGGCCATGGCTATTATCGGTAAAATCACACCATCGTCTGGTGCAGCCAAACATGCGTGGATACTTGTTGCAACAGACTACTTCACCAAATGGGTCGAAGCCAAGTCATATGCCGAGCTAACGTCTAAGGAAGTTTGTAGTTTCGTTGAAGAAAACATTGTGACTAGATTCGACGTGCCAGAAACAATCATAACAGATAACGGTACGATTTTTACATCTGACAGATTTAAAGACTATGCAGCAAATCTAAAGATTCGACTCGAGCAATCTACGCCATACTACCTGCAGGCGAATGGGCAAGCCGAATCAAGTAATAAGGTTCTTATTGGTATTCTTTAAAAAATGATAAAAGAGAGGCCAGACATGTGGCACTTAAAGATAAACGAATCGCTATGGGCTTATCGAACCTCTCTATAGACAACCACTCCGTACGCGTTGACTTATGGACACGACGCAATGTTGCCCGTTGAGCTAAGTATAAACTCGTTGCGAATAATTGAACAAAATAGTTTGTTCAGTGCCGAGTACAGTCAAGCCATGAGACAAGAGCTCGAAGATTTAGAAGAAGCTTGGCTTGATGCTTATAATTTATTAGTGGCTCAAAAGAAAATTGCCGAGCGTGCATATAATCAACGAGTTAGACAAAAAAGTTCGACGAAGGAGAACTGGTTTGGCAAACCGTACTACTCGTAGGAATTAAAGACCCCAGGTTCGGCAAGTGGTCGCCGAATTAGGAAGGGTCATTCGTTATTCATTAAGTCCTCGGCAAGGGGGATACCATCTTAGAGATCGAACCAGCATTGTTCACAAGTTGCCAATCAATGGAAGGTTTTTAAAGAAATACTATCCAGTCACATAGGAGATGCGAGAATAAAAATTCATTTCATTTCATTAAGTTCACTACATTGGTCGATCAATTTACAATAATCCTAGGTGAAGGGAAAACCATGAGATTTCATGTGGGATTTCTAGTGACTAGCATGCATATACAATTCAAAATTTATATACAAAACCAACGGAAGCATGTTATCAAATAATATCAAAGCAATAGTCATGCAAATCCCCTTCAAGATGCATAGGTTTATGTAAGATGCATCAAAAACAAATTTATATATAAGAACAAAGTTTAGGAGTAGTTTTATACCTCTTGATCTAGATCTTAGACCAAGGATGGACCACCTCCAAGCCCTTTTCTCCTTGAACTCCTTGAGCCTAGCCTCCTTCCTTGCCTCCTCCACTTTGTTTAGAATGAGTGCTCCTAGGTTCTCTTCAAGTTTCCAAAATTGAAAACCTCTAAAGATCCTCACCTACTAGTGTAGTGAGAAGGATGAAGGAATAACCAAAGGGGTGAAAAGATGATTAGCTAAATCCCCCTATGGTGGCCGGCCCTTTGAGTGTTAGAGAGATATTTTTCTTTTTCTCTTTTGTTCTTTTAACACTTCCAAAAAACCCTAATGAAACATTTGCTATAAAGTTCCTTTTATAGCAAAAAAGAAACAAGTCAACATTTGACCTTTCTCTCCCTCTTTTGGCCGGCCCCTTTTTGTTGTTTGGGCTTTGGGCTTTTATTTATTTCAAGTCATCCAATGCTTGAATAAAAGCCCAATGGGTTTAGGCCCAATGGGCCCAATTAAACCCGAACGTTTCTTTAAGCCCAAAACGATCTAATCGCTTTTATGATTTCTTTAGACTTTCTAATTAATCAAAACACTTAATTAATCCAATTAATTATTTCCATCATCCATTAATTACTCACTACAAGAGTGTATTGGTAAACAATCGTTTTAGGTTCTAATTAGCAAGGCAGTGGGGTGATTGGCACCAATCCAATTGATTATATTTAATCCAATCACTTAGTGAATTAAAACTTACTTTTAATTCACCTTCTTCTTTGACGACTACATTTAATAATCTAGAAGAACTCACAAGCCATGAGTGACATCTAACCATATCATGGCTACTCAAGCTAATGTAGAAGTTGTTCGGAGAACCTATTCAGTTGGAATTACAATGTAATTCGATCCTTCTCTAAAACAATACTCTCAATCACATCACTAGGGTATGGATATATTATGTCAAACCCCTAATGTGATTATTCCTTCTTATATGATTCAATTGAGTCGTATAGGAACGCTTTCCTTTATTACGCTCGATACTTCGGCCGAAGATTCCAGAATCATATCTTAGAGTATTCATCCTCTCTTAACGAGGATTAAAGATTCCTTGTTGCGCATTCACTTGCCTTCATGACTAAGTGGCTTAACCCCGACTATGCCGTGGACACCCGCGGATGGAGTGACTTTGACATAATCAAAGATCAAGTACTTAACCACAAGACAACGATGATGCCTCAGGTCAAAGGACTACTTACATTATTCCAACCATTAGAGTTACTTGCTTGACATGTGAGAAGACCTCCATGCAAGTACTCTCGTTCGATTGTGTTTAGTGAACTCATTCCCTTAATGAGCACCTACACACTTGTCTTAGTGTCACTACACGAATGGGATGAGACCTTCCATCCTTCTAATTGAAGCGGACATAGTATGTACCGGTCTATGCATTGTCAGTATCCCTTCGACAATCCTATGACCAGGAACCTTTTGGACATGATGGTTATGTGAAGAAGGTCTCTGTAGTCTAACTTCATTAGATTACTTCTTCAATCGATCCATTGTCTATGGATTCACTATTTAGGACATATATCGTTTATAGAGATAGTCCTAAATAGTATCTTTGCCATTTGATGTATAAGAGTCATCTATACATCCATTTATTGTCCTGAAAGGTTTCTTCCAAAGAGGGCATATTTCCAACACTAGGGTGATGAAGGAAGAAGAGTTTCAAGAACAGCCTTCAGCTCCAACCACCTCACCTTGCCCATCGTGACCTCAGCCTACCAATTCCTCTTGTCCATCTTCAGCTGCTCGACTCGCTTCACGCTCGCCGCATTGTGAAGACCTGTAATTTGGAAAATATATTTATAAGACCACCTATAATTATAATATTTGGGTTCCTTGTATTTATTTAATTATTTATTTGTTTACTATATATTAACCTTGTCTAATTACCTGTTTATATTTATTTTATTTATTGATTTTAGCTTTACTATAATTATTTTGGTCTAAAATAATTGGCTGGTCAAGGTCAATGCTATTGTTGACAACACCTCTCTATTTACACACACCCGTAGCAGATTATGGGAGTACGGAGATAGGTTCAACTTATCTCTTGCCGCTACACCTTCCAATAAGAGAATAGCTATAGCCGTCTCTTAACCTCCTATAAGTAGGAGTGCTTTTCATTCATTTGAAAGAGGAAAACAGACGGAAGAAGGGAAAAATAATTCGAGAGAGAGAGAGAGAGAGAGAGAGAGAGAGAGTTGTTTTTCTGTGGTTTCTGTTGAGAGTGAGAGAGAGATCGATTGAGTGAGGGAGGGAGGACTGTGGAGTCAGTAGCTTGCTTTGTGTGGGTAACAATTTCTATACCTTGTTTATCTTTTCATAACTATTATATATTTTCCTTGTTTATATCTGTCGTGGAGTTTCTATTCGAAGTTTGTTTATACAAATTCTTCGCTTGATCAAATCTAATGTAATTTGGCTTCAAATCTGTATATACCTTTGATTTGGCTGTCTTATTATAAAATATGAAAGAACTATGATAAACCCTAGTTTGACAAATCCAATTCAATTTCCTTTTCCAAAACTACTTTATATTTATACAATATTATGTTAATTTGATTGAGAATAGAATGAAGTTTATATATATACACATATGCTGCGCTATCAATATATGTAGATGTATATGTATAGCTATTTTTATATACATTAGTATATGCTGGAACAAAACCACACTAAGTCTTAAGCTTTTTGCACTATATATCGTCTAGGTTATAAATGATTAATCATGTTGGGAAATGGTTTTATGTATGGTTATTTTATACAAGTTACATAACGTTTTGAAGGCAGAGGACTATCTAAGTTTATTCATTCTTTTGGTCTCCATAATATGTTTACTATACACAAAACTATTTTGCATAGTATTATAGGTCAACCAATTTGATATGATTTGAGTGGTAGTAAATTAGTAACCCAAGTACTTTGATTAGTTAGAGTCTATGTCTTGCATAAAGTGATTTGCTTATACTTCTGAATAGGATTTTGTCAAGGTGGTGAACTCTTGTAATAGAGAGTTGGAGCAATGCTTTGGAGTCCAGGTAGGTGAAATACAACAGACCTTTACGGAGATTGGCTTTATTAAATTTCATGAAGAATTATATTATTATCGATCTTGTTGGTTGATTAATGTGATATGGGTTGCTAATTGGACAAATACTGCTCTTGCATGTTTACTTGTTATTGGTTATGGAATTATTGGTGAAATGCTATTGGTTGAGAATATACTATGGTATATGTGAATGATAAATGAAAGTATTTGTGAATCATTCATAATTGGTCGTGTGGTTGGAGTTTCAGTGGTGAGAAGGAATTGGAAATGAGGGTAGCTGGAAAGGATCTTTTGTATAGTTGAGCTAAAATCTTAGCAAGTACCAGGTCTCAGGCGAGCCCACTGTGCACAGATTCTTTAAAGGTAATTCGGGACTGGCGACAAAGGGTTTTGGCAAGATGACTAACAAAAGGGGAAATTGGGATGATTGAGTTACAGGGGGTTAATTTGTATATTAGAACATTCGAACCACCACTGCAGAGGTAAAATGCACGGTATGGGACGTGCAGGTCTGCATGTTTTATTATATGAATTAACGGGTAGAGATGAGTATTGCATTGCACTCATACATTGTTATTGATAATGATTTGGTACTTGATTAAATGATTTTATAACATGTAATTTAGTATTGTCAATTTACTGTGGTAAGGTTATGTCCCTACTGAGCTGTTGAAGCTCACCCCTCTATTGTTATGCAGGTTTACTAACTAAATTGTCAAAAGGGTAGACAGGATGAAACGAGATAGATGTGAGGCTAGAATTTGTATTTATTTATTTAGCTTTGTAAAGAATTCTGGATTTCTTTTTATAAGAGGAATTTTATTTTTCACTCTATTATTTCAGTTTTACTTTAATTATTTAGTTTTTAGTTCGCGTTTAGGATTCAGGTTAAAGTTTTTACTACCGACCTCGGGTCCGGGGTGTGACACGCATATTCGGTCAGGCAAGATTTGCCGCCCGACTCAAAATCCATCGCAAGCTAAGAAGCAATTGCCAACCTTCGATTTGAAGTTCAGCAATTTGACGGTCAAGGTCGGCCATGGTCTCTTTTTTCGCCTTTAAAACTTCGACCTTCGGACTAAGAGCGTCTCGAACAGCTGTTGCAGCTTTCAAGTCATCGTCAGCCTGAAGAGCTTTCTCGAAAATACTGAAATATTCTTGGGTCTGTTCCAAGGAGGATGACGCCTGAGTGATAGCTTCGACGCTCAATTGACCATCGGCTCCGAGGTCGTTCAGACATGCACCCACCGAATCAAGGCATTTGCGCTCGAGAACTTGAGAAGCTGAAAGAGACAAAAGCTCTTGCAACCGAACAAGAACAGTTGATTCGGCAGGTTCAGTCGTAGCTGCCGAAGGACTAGCTGCTTCTGAAGTGTTTGATAGAAGAACATCAAACTCGACTTCCCACAAAGGCTGCACACGAAAACGGTTTAGGCACAAGGAAAATCATAAAAGAATGTAGCAGGGAGGATTTGTTTTAAACCTGCCAAGAGGAGACTTCAGCCATGTCTTCGGGTTCATTCAAACCTAAAAAACTTAATGGCCGAGCCCAATGTTTCAGATTGCTTCTTAATTCACATGGCCGATGAAGGTTATCTACGTTCGATGGCCACTAAGGTGGCCAAGAAATATAGATAACACCTTTCGGCGCATAAAATTTTTGGTGAAATGAATAACTAGGCACCTGACATTTAATATTTTCTCGGTTCAGACTTGTTATAACAAATTGACAAGAGAAAGTAATCGAGCCTTACAAAAGTCAAGGTCACTTTTTGAAAGGGGATGCTGAGGTCATGGTCCTGCGGGTGAATTGGAATCTCTGACGTTGCTTCAGGTTCGACGATAGGCCTCTTTCCACGATCAGCTGCAGGAGGATCAACTTGATCTGTCACCTCAACCATGGGGGAAGGATCAACAGAAAGAGCTTGGGTTGGTTGAGAGCGACTCGCCAGCAGAATCTCGTCAGTCTCATCATCTTGAAACAAAAAGTGTTAATACCTTTTTTACTTAATAAGTAAAGGGATTTGACAGCAATCATACCTCTTCTAAGATGACTGTCGAATGTTTTGGATTCTTAGGGAGATTATTCCCGATCGAAGGGGTTATCTCCCCAATACAGGTACTCCTGTCGACCTTGGAGCTGCAGGTGAGTCAACCAATGGTATGGTAACTAGCTCGACCACGACCTCGGGGACTTCAGGTATTGCTTGAGCTTGGGTTGCCGGGCTGGCCGAAGAAGGTTGATTCTCCACTGAAGCCTGAACAACGGGAACAAGAAGAGAGGCACTCGGAGCAGTTGTCCCGATGGTATGGCTAGAGATAACATCAATCTCCCGTACTCATTTCTTCGCCAATTTCTTAACGCGTTTAGGGGGACGGGGAGCTTCACTTGCAGTCTATGCTTCCGGGTAAGGTCGTTTGCTCGGTGTGTTTGGTGCAGCGGCCTTGGTTTTCTTGGAGGAAAAGGCTAATTTTTTCTTGACCATTACCAGGACGACCACGACCGCCTGTTTCAGTACCCAAATGCCTAAGAAAGCGAAATCTCGTTAGTAAAACCATTCAAATGTTTGAAGAATAAAGGTAGAAACAAGGATATGCCTTGGGGTGCCTCTTTAGATTGAGGGGCGGAAGTTTTCTTAGGCCGAACACCAAAAGTTTTATTGACTACTTTCTCGACCAAGAGCCAAAGAAGTTGTGAGTATATTCTTCCCAGTCGCCAAAAGTATCGGTGCCGAGAGATTCAGGATCAGCTGGTCGAAGGAGAAATTTCTTACATCGTTCCTGAAATTCTTTCTCGGTGTCTCTATACTCTTTTTCTGAGGAACTAGAGACGCGCCCTCTGCTTAAAAGGGAGCGAGAAGAAAATAGAGGCACCGGGCAACCTTGGAAGTAGGCGAGCTGTCGGGTGGTAAAGTGGGGATGGTAGACTTCCCAACTTGCTCGGCGAGCATCGCAATCGAGGAGAAGGTCGCAAGTTAACATGAACGACCCCCAATTTTGACAAAGATCGGCGTCTTCGCTTTCACTCCAGGTCGATGTGGGAAGTTTGATGGAGTAGGGGTATTCTTAATGATGACATATCAAAAATTCATCATCATAAAGGACATCCAAGCTGAAGAAGTGTTTAAAGACTTCTTCGGCTCGGTGAAGAGGCACTAGTCAGGAGGCCAACTGAAAGCCGAGCGCTATAGTAGACTGGATGATGAAGACTTCTGGCCGAAGTGTGGAGAAATAAACCTGCAGCCATAGTTGGAATACCTAGAGAGGTCCATTCTGGTACGGGTCGATCTTGTTGAGGGTCATTTCTGCCAGGCAACGAAGAAAGTTGGCGAGGATGGCAGGATTGAGCACCAAGGAGTAACCACTAGCCAGGGCTTCTGCCACCGGTATATTCTCGACCAAGCATTTATTCGACTTGGTACAACAGATGAACTTGTTGTACCAGTAAAATAGGAATGCCTCGTGTCCCCATTCCGTAGACTCGCCTCCCCTCGACCAGCAAAATGGAGGATAAAGGTATTATAGTTTAGAAAATTCTTGTGCAATTTCTGAACGTCTTATTTTGAAGGCTCTTGACCTTCGTGGTTCAACGTCTTAATGGCTCGATCATCGAACAACGCCTTGAGGTTAAGATTGGATGGGCATCCAATAAGGGTGGCGTTGACCGGAATGCCAAAATGAGGGGTCCCGATGATAGCCGAGATGTCGAGGATGGTAAGAGTTATAGGGCTGAATGGAAGGACCATGATGTTGGTGATCGAACACCAAAGGCTTAGAGCGGCCATGAGAAGTTCTTTATCCATTGAAATCTCCATGGTCGAGAGCTTGATAGCGTCATGGATACCAAAAGCCTCCCACTATTTATTGAAGATTTTTTCCATTCGTATGACCCAGGCCACCTAATTCACATTAATCAAAGGCCAACATCCTTGGGGTTTTGTCTGGCACCATTTTGACCAGTCGAATCCCTGCAGCAAACCTGCAAAGCAATGTTTTTGAACAAGTTGGTGATGGATGACAGCACTATGTCTTTGAAAAGTGGGCCTAGAATTTGGTAAGTAGTGTTTAAGTCACCTTCAAAATGCAGGGTCTTGATGGCGTTTTGATCGATGAAAGCCTTGCACTTGTTGCACTCAGGGGAGAGTTCTGAGACGAAGGAGGCCATTGATGAAGGCTAAAGCTTATGAGATGAAAGCTTAAGGTTTTTTGGGTTTTGAAGGTTTTGAGAACAAAGTGGAGAGAAAATTTCAAGGGTTTTGGAAAATGTAAGGTACGAATGGAAAGGATCCGAGTATTTATAGACATTTAAGGCGGAAGGCTAAGCGTTTGATTTTCAAAATCAAGGATGAAATCGAGCGGGAGAGTTGGTAATCATTGTACATGCTCAGAGAATCAAGGCGAAAAGACTGAGGTTTTCAGGGATTAAGGACGCACGATGGCGTGTTGCAGCAGGTTTAGTACAAAATAGACGTTTCGACGGTCGCACGTTTTCGAGAATCATGATTAAGAGCTACTTGGTTAACCAGGGGGTTGACATGTGGCCGGACAATTGGGAAATCGAGATCGTGGGGTTATGTCTCATAAATGCGCATGGTGGTTTTTCTCAAGAGGATTCAATGATTATCTTTAGGTAGTTTCGCTTTTTCAAGGTCGAGGTTCAAGCCAGGGAATACAAGCCGACGACCTCAGAAGCGAGGGGGCAATGTTTGGGCCCAAAAATATTGGTTTTTGCCGAGTTTAGAATTGGTTCTCGTCCTAGAGGCCGTGCGTAGGAGTCGTCGGGAGATTATTCGACTCATGGGCCGCAGAGTCATGACTAACCGTATCCTATTAGGAATCGGGGGGATGTGGGTGAGTCCTATTACGAGAAGGAGTCTTGATAGGATAAGGAGTTTAAGATTGAATGTGGCCTAATGACGGGTTGAGTTCAGAATCCTGGTAGGAGTAGGATTGGCTGAGATAAGGTTGGATTGGGGAAAAGAGTTCTAATCTGAGAATGATTAGGATTCAATACAACATTACTATAAATAGGGGGAGGACATCGAACAAACCCCCTCCAATTCAACACACAAACTGCCCTGCGCAAATCCTCGCTCTACGCGAAACCTCTCAACAACCTTGAGATTTTTGTTTTCCTTTTTCACCAACATATCTTCAGTTTGAATAAATAGTACTGTAAAGGTAACCAGCGAACATCTTCAGTTTGGATAAACAGCACTGTTGCCGTAGAATCAGCCGACTGTGAAACACCTTTAGTTTGGATAAACAGCATTGCGACAGGGCCGACTGGTTATCTATCCAAGTATCGGCAGAGGACATCTCATTAGCTTTTTTGGCGAAGTGATGTGTTACGAGTTACTGGGCTCGGCACATCGAACGTCGAGTTGTTTATGATTGGCTATTTGCAGGTAGGTTTTAGAGATCAGCATTCTAACGGTCGAACAACTTTCATGATCAAGATGTATATTTGTTTTGAGTACTTGTGTCCCTATACTCTGGTGTCAATTTGGTGTGCTTATACTTTTACGATTATAATCACTGTGATCGAATCCGGCACCGACGATTTGTGAACTTCGCATAACTAGTAGCCTTGTCTTCAGGCTCTAGAACCTGAAGGCTAAGAGTGTTCCTTCCTCGGCCGCAATCGCAAGATCGAGAGGTTAACAGCGCATCCAACGTAACATCAACGAATTTCACTCCTTGGCCGAGCTTAGCTGACGAGTTGGCACGTCCCGCATACAACTGAAGGACGTAGTTAGCTTACTAATTACTCAGCCTGCGCACCACATAGGCTTGGTAGTTTTTAAGGTCAACAAGTTCAGTATGTCA